AAGGGTTCGGGACTGCGATGTACTCCATTGTGCGTTTTTGCATTAGCAGACTCTTGAGGCGCCTCAGTTGGAAAACTTGATACCCCAGTCAAACTTATGTGTGAATCCTCGCTGACTTTACTGTCGTAAAGTTTGCCGATTTACAGATTTACCTTGACTGACCTGGCGACAGTCTCTGCGCCTTCAGGATCCGTGTTCGAGTCTGAAATTGCAATCCAGCCCCGAGGAAAGTGTGTCCTTTTTAGGTAGACCGAGTGTTCTCTGCATTTATCGGTACGTCCATTAGACACTTGGCAAATGCTTTCATTCTCATCAAAATGACTAGGCCTTAACACATGTCCTCATCAAAGCATTCGGCTTTCTGATTCCGCCCAGTCCTCCTCCGGCCCATGACACACTGTACAGTCCCCGCCGAGCTACCTCCTAATGATGACATCAGTCTTGTTGCCCAGTTAGCCTTGATTCCTCGCCTACACCTACCTACTCTAGCCGTATCGAGACTCAACTTGAGTCGCCTCGTCTAGCCAGCCTCACCCGCCCAGCCATCTCGTTCATTTTGCCTTCTTTGATCAGTTTCACTGTTCTTTTCGCTCCAACGCTCGCATTAAGGAAACACACCGACCGCCCCACCGACCGCTCACCTTCACAACTTCTGTCCGCCCCCATTCCCCCCTCTTGTCTCCGGAAAACACATCAAAGTCGCATCCGCCCAGCAGGCCATGCGACTAACGTGGCGTCGAACTTAGTTGACCAGGTCACATTCTCCGACGGACCAACCGCCCCCAACCCGCATCCATTCTGGCACCGTCTCAGACTCGTCACGTCTCGCTGCCTGGCTGAAGTCAAGGCCCCGCGGCCGGCGGTCGTCTGGAGGCACTGGTCGAGATGGCAAGTATCACCAGGTCTACTGCCGGTCCCCACGTGTCCATACACTTGTGTCACACACCGACACAAGCATGGCATAATTGCATGCAACTGTGTTAATAGAAGCTGCCGAGACGAAGGCTTGCACACATGCCGTCCGGCCGAATTCCTACTGTGAATCGAGGCCTTTCTCCTTTATTCCTTGTTCTCTGCGAGCTATATACGCCTCTTAT